CGAACCTTTTGTGACAAAATGAGAAGGTTTCTTTAAAGCAGAATATGACTCCCAATGATTTAAATCGTCGAATGATTGTTTGGAAGCTTGTATCCTGAGCGTTATTGGAAGATAACGCTTGTTTTTTGAGCAATGCTGAATTTCGGTTACAATTTAATTGGCAAGACGTTTATCTAGAAAACATCTTTTGGAAGGCTTATTTCTTTTTTTGAAAGTAATTCTTAGCTAAATATGGAATCTTAATGCTTGCAGATTCTCGCATTTACCTTTGATTTTCTTACAGTAAGGAAGGGTTGGTGGAACAGCTCAATTACCTAGGTAGGGAAAAGGGAGCGTTAAAGTATGTCTTAAAACTACTTCGGGATTCCAGTATGCGAACATCAAATAACTCAATCATGATAACAATAAAAATATCAAGCAATTCTGTCTTTAAAAATTGACAACACAGTGATGGGATCTTTATCGAAAATTGTCCAATTTCCCATAACTTCCTTCAACTGGGGAAAATTTCTGTAGTGCCTTGTTTTTTTTTGACAATAGCCGTACACGTATTTTTAAAAGAAAGTTTTTTTCAGCCTACCCCTCAGACTTTCTTAGCTTTTTCCTTATTTCAGCACTAAAACTTACTGAACACTTTCTTAACGTAAAATTGGAAACTTTTACGCTACTAGGCATGCGCAGTGATGGAAAAGATGAAATGCTATAAATATGCTATTTTTCTCAAAAACCCTCAACGTCATACTGTATTCGTCGTTTCCTGTTCAGCACATTACTGTTTGTTGAAATATTTCACTCTTGCACAGCAATTTCCTTTGAAACTTTGAATATCTAAATTTGTCAACTTTCTTAGGTTTCAAAGATTCAGCCCTTTCTTAACGTTTTGAAGAACCGAACACAACTTTCTTGTGAAATGCTTTCTTATAAAAAAAACGTGTAGTACCTTGTTTTTTTTACAATAGCAATCTTGAAATGAAAGCACCTTTCATATAAGATACGGGCTTCCATCTCTATAATCATATTATTCATGTTTTTGAGTGTGTTGTGTCTCCGCTCGATATTTCCTATGAGCTCCTGGCTTCTTGCTGCGTCAACATTGGGGAGTTTTTGCAGAATTAGACACCTTTTTTAAACTGAACTCCCAGTGCTGGCTGATAAATTCCAACTAATCTAGATTTTACAATCTGCTGTAATATTTATATTGGGAAAAAATCTTGCCATGTACTGTTAAAAAAGACGATTATATGCACTGCTTCAGTTTGTGAAAATCCTTAAATCTCAGCTAGTATATCAGCGTATAACGTGGAATGCTATTAATCGACTTTTGCACAGAAAATTGAATAAAAGTCAATTCACAGTTTTGATGTTTTCCATCCACCGCCAAAAAAATGAAAATTTAAGAAGCTTTGAATACCCAATGTCGTGGAAAATTTTTTGAAATTTATAAAAGGAATGTATTCATGTTGATAAAAGGTGCCTTTCTGGATCTAGGGGTGCACTAGGGGGTTGACAGCAACACGCTCTTCACCTTTATCGCAGCATTTGCTCGGCTAATGATGCTGTCAGGCAAGGGAGAGGGGATTACCCTATAAATAAAATTTTTAACTAAATTGGAAACGATTTAAAATTTACAATATTTGCAAGAACAAATTATGTGATTATGACAGACAGCGCAGCAAACATAAATTAAAATCCAATCTTTGAGTAAGACTTATTTTAAATTCAGCAATCTTCCAAGACAGAATTCTTGTACTGACACCTTAGTCGGAATCATGTGGATAGACGCATTCAAAGAAACAGGAGGCAGTATAAAAGTTGCAGAATATATCTACAGCAGATGACACGTACCCACCCGGGGGCGTCGGGAGAAATTGAAATGTGGGAGCAAAGGGAGGGGTATAACGATTCAAAATGGAGAGTGTTCCCTTGGAGCTTTAATAGCCATACATGCATCTGCATTTCTATCACTTTATGGAACGTACGTGTGGTGCTCCTTTGTTTCAATGCTTCTTTATGTATCATGTTGCAGGGATTGACTGGCACATTTTATTCCACGTGACAAATTTACTATGCAGCAATCTACATCAATGCTAACGAAGTCTAGGCATCAAAGAAAAAAGCATACTCGAACGAATCTCATGATCTCGTGTTGAAACCATTTGCCGAACCTGGCCAGTGGAGCCTAATCAAATTGGAGTATTGTATTTTAAGTTGAAGCATAATGGTGTACTTTTAATAAAAACTTTCTGGGATTATTTCCATTCGAAAGTCCACCTTTAAATGACTCCAACGCCAGGCAGTTGGTCGAAGATGGTGGGTTTTGGCAGATCTTCACCTGAAAGAAAAGAGAATGCTCAAATTTCGGTTTTCCAGAAAAAAATAATATTCAGGAATGTTTACGTTACAGCTCCAAGCGATGTATTACGTATCTACGTTTAAAGGTTGGACGCTAGACTTCAGTAACTGCAAAGGATGAAGAAGACAGTCAGAAATATCATATATCGAGGCTATTTACATTTTACTACGCAAACCTAATTTGGATATTGAGCTAAAGCAATAGAGTTGTTCTATAAAGAGAAAAGCGCTTGAATTGTTGAAGAATGATTCGTTTTGGAAGGATATAGATAGATGAAACAATAAATGAAGATCAATCAATCAGAGGGAACTTAAAAGTAAAGAAAATCATAATATATTAGTGCATACATTTAGCTGTATTGAGGAATCAGCAAATCTTTTAAGGAAATTATCTAGTCGTGAAAGAAAAGTAAAAATACAAATCACTGATTTTTCATGGCATTTAAATATGAAACATTATCCACAATGGTTCGTTTTGGAAGGATATAGATAGATGAAACAATAAATGAAGATCAATCAATCAGAGGGAACTTAAAGTAAAGAAAATCATAATATATTAGTGCATACATTTAGCTGTATTGAGGAATCAGCAAATCTTTTAAGGAAATTATCTAGTCGTGAAAGAAAAGTAAAAATACAAATCACTGATTTTTATGGCATTTAGATATGAAACATTATCCACAATTAAAATAAAAACGAAAAATAAAACTCCGAAAACCCGGTGATTGGATTGTTTGTGCCACACCCTTCGGGTGACTGGAAAAATGTGGAAACGCTGTTGTTACTGATGAAATATCCAATCATAGAACTTCATTTTTATCATTGCCTTTTATCGTAGACACGTTCTAGACTGCATTTCAAGATTGCATTGCCATGTATAGCCTGGTGTCATGTAGGTTTTTTTCAAGGGCAAATTATTGTTCTTGACATCGATCATATTTCTTATATTTTCCTAAACTAAGCTATAAAAAGAGAATGTATATAGTCGCGCTTAATGAAAATCTATCAATAGACTGGTGCATGTCACTAATGAGCAGTAAAAAGAGCACTGGTCCCAACATGCATTCTTGAGACACACCACAATTCGAAGCGAGAGTGCTAGAAGATTCCTCATTAAGTATTGCGAGTTCTCAGACAGTCTGGATTCTATCAGTTCAGCATGACCTAGACACGACAAGAGCAAAGCGTCTAGCGTTATGCTGTTCAGGCTTGGCAAATAGGACTTCCTGGTTATACTTCATGATTAAATTTTAGAAAGTTCTAGAAATAGCGGCATAGAGGACAATTTCAAATCCTTTACAAATTTGCTTCCAACTACAGGAACGCAAATAACGGGGAGGAGTCATTTTGCAGCAAGACTAATGACAAGATATGCTTACATGATATATAAATGCTTACACAAATATAAATTCGTCGAGGTTTCATTAGCCCACCAAGCACTATATCATTTGAGAACGATTTGAAAGGTTGTTGAATCTTTTGTATCTTTTGTGGGAACAGAATATGAATTGTTTTTAAAACATAAACCCTTGTAGACACTATTTCAAAAAATGATCATTTTATCGTATTTCATCTTAATCTCCAAGAGACAATTAAACTAACATTTTATACGGTAAAACAGAAGAAAATTTCGAATTATTTCAAGCTAAAAGTATGAAGATCTTTGATCAGGCATCAAACTTTCTCCTAGAAGATTTGTAGAGTGGGTTCCCAAACAAATAAACGTCTTATTGCAAATCACTCCGTTTTCAAGTTATATAAAAAATTTAGATGACACAGGGGACATTATTTAGCAAATGTTCAAAAATCTTGATTCTCTTATCAAAATAATGGTCACATCAAACAAAGTGTCCACCAAAATACACCTCTGACAAGATAATTTGCTTTAACTTGGCTTTCAATCGGCTAAAAATACGACAATACAACGTACACAATTCTCCTTTTAGCAGTAAAAAGCATAAAAGACCTTTCCCACTTGGTTTCAATCCGTGCTCTGAAAGGAGGTTTTTTTAATAGAAATTAACACAAATTGCTTACAAATGTAGCTTGTATATACATACATACAAGAAATGCAAAAAACAAGGAAAAACCAAGAGGTACACAACTAATTTATAGGAAAGGAGACTAACGAAAAAGGTTTTTAACAACTAATACTCTAAAACAGTGAGTAGCTGTAAAATACCAAATGACTTCTTCTCCCCAAAAGGGAAAAAATGGAGAAATAATTCTTTGCGCAGTTTTTCTCTTATTTCAACAAAAGGACAAAATTGCAAACAGGTAAGTTTCTTGCAAATTAAATCAATCGAAAAAGTTTCCCAATTTCGGAATATTGCGACAAAAAGATTCCTCCAATAATGAGATCTTTTAAGGATTTTTAGCTACTTGGACAAAACCTGAAAAGAGGTTCCTCCCATAAGCATATTTTTATAAGAATATTGGTGCAAGGGCAATTAAGTTGGGCACCAGTCAGTGAAAGAAACGGTTCATAATATCAACTTTGATCGACTTTAAAAGTAACACAAAAACAAAGATAAAGTTTTATATCACAAAAATATGTCCAAAATGTTAGCAAATATCAAGCACTCCTTAAAGAAACCAAAAACAATGGCGAAAAATGCTTCCACCTTGAAAGGTAAAATCACATTAATTGGTATTTTAGAATCTGTACTTTGCTAAATTGTTTAGGCAATTCAAATAAGAAAATATCCTACAATCCACGAGGGAAAAAAACTTGACATGAAATCATTTATTCAAGGCACAAACTGAAGATTTAATGATTTAATTCCAACTCAATAGCGTTTAAATTACAGAGAATCATACCTTTAAGATACATTCAAATGGAAAAGATCGGGGGAATCAATTTTCGGAAAAAACTTTGCCTTTGTTGCTACAGGTGTCATTTTTTCGTTGCTTTGATTGCAATGCTAGTTATAAATGTTGCTCTTAGTTTGTCCATTTGTTTGGCTTTAGTATTGCATCGGTATCAGTTTCCATGATTGATTAACGTAAAATTATAGCCTGTTTTAGCATATACATTTATATGATCCAAAAAGTGTTTGTCCCAAAGTTTTTTGTCTGAAGTTATTTTTCTCGCAATTTTCCGTCCGAAAGTTTTAGATTTTAAAGTGAGAGGGCCAATAAACGATTATGCAAAAAATCTAAACAATTACCAGTTAAATAGCAAGGTTTGAAACAAAATATTTTAGAACATAAGTGAAAATTTCCTTCAGGTTCAGGCAAAGTTAAAAGAATGGAAGGAACGGTGAGTTCTTCAAGTTAATTTGTCCCCAACACACAATAGTCTGAAACAGTATAGAAGGACTAAGTGAGTTAAGCATAATTATTCACAAACTTCATAACAGTTACTGTTTGAGCAAGAAAGCAAACCCTTCAGAGTACAGTGAGATCCAGTTATAACGATCCCCCAAATAACAGAAGCACCAATGCATAAACAATCAATATTTGATTTTAATCAAAAGAGCAAGATAGCTTCTCATAAGCCACGGAACACTTGGGAAAATTCCTAATGGACTTCTTTTGATGTTTGAATCATGTAACAGGTAGGCATACATGTCTCTGGAAAGTCAGCGTGGTTAGCAGAAACACTAGGATACCATTTCCTAAACTTCTAGAAGCATTTCATTCTTTTTTTCGATAAATTTAGCTGTCTTCTTGATAGAAAAGGCTTTTCACAGAGCATAAAAAGTATGTTTGATGGATGTCATTCTGGAAAAAAGACGTCACCTGGCTCGTTGAAGTGACTTTTGATCATTTTAATTGCCAAAACATGAGCAATTCAGCTAATTGGCAGAAAAACGTTTTCACTTGCTGTTATGTTGATATGCAACCATTTAACTTTGCCTTCATTTTAACTACTCATATATAGCTTTTTACAAAATCTGATTTCTTTAAGTTGGTTCTGTAAACACTACTTTATACTTTATACAGGTGTTCAGTTGTTTAAATAAAACATTATCTTCCTGTTGCTGGAAAGAGCTTTTGTTAAAACAGACTTGTGTTTGAGAAGACCATGCTGCTTGAGATAAAACATTTGTTCTTTTTTAGTATGTTGAACCATTTCTTTCTGCAACTTTCGGAAAACATACACAAAAAAGCGGTGGAATATTTGCTCATAGGCTAGAGAACAAGGAAGGCGGGGGAAGAAAGGAAACAATAGCAAACTAGAGTGCTGCTAAAAAACTAGATCTAAACACTCTCTATGAATGTTTTCAGACAAAGGAAAATGAAGCAAATCCTCTGTCATCATTCTCTTTTGTGATGTCACTGATAGTACAGCACAATTGAATTGGGCAAAATTGTTACCAGTGGATAATTAGTAAGAAAGTTATTTCCATGTGACTTCATAGAGATTAAAACATTTACAAAAGGTTAAGTGTTGAGCCAAGCAAAAAAATTGAGCACCTGATCCCAAATTTTATAGCCTTGAAATTTACATCATTCTAGAATCTGGAAATAATTTTGGGGATTTTGGTTCCTGACTCCATGCCTCTTAAGGTTTTGTCTTGTCAAATGTCATTCAAATTTGAAAAAAAATTGTTTTGACAATAAACGACCTTATTCTGATCAACATTTGAAATAAGAAATAGATTATGAAAGCGAGGAGGGGGGAGGGTGAAAATTTTTTGAAGGGGAGCTCAACATGCTGAAAGTCAAGGTAAGGAAGATACTGCATAGTTCTAAGTACATTCTGGAAATTATTAGGGTCCTCTCTACTTCTGTGGCCTATTGGTAACATAACCTTTTTTGAAAAAAGATTATGTTTACAATTTTCTTTGAGATGGTGCTATTTTTCCTTTTTTAGGTACTCTCAAAGATTCTCTTTGATTTAGTAAGCAAGATTACTTTTAAAGAGGATCTTTGAAAGTAACTCTTTCACCTGTCAGGGCTGGTTGAGTTACTGGTTCTCTAGCTGAGACTCCTCCCATCTTATCATTTTACAGTGACCAGCTTAATTTCCTT